AGAATGGGACCCACGTGATCCTCCTTGTGCTAAACTGGGGAGAGTGAACGATATGGTGGCTAACTGATGCTAGTGGCGTTCATGATTTCTGCCTATATAAAGATTGTCTGAATGAGTGTCGGAGGGTGTAGGCAACTAGGATGTTCGTGTTAAGACAGTCGTGAGTTCCTCTAACGTGAACTTTGTTCCATCTTCTTTTCACTATAAGGCTTTATTCAAATAAGTGGTAGTGAGGCACCAGTGCTTTCATTTGGTGATGATGACAAGAGGGAAAATCATATTACGCTGTCAGATATTACGGACCACATTTCACCGAAATACCCCATTAAGTTTTGTCACACGATGGTGCTCCGCTGGAGTTCTAGTGGACTCCCTGAATAATTGGTAGCCAAAAGTAAGTCTGTTGCTAACATCCGCAGTTGTCTGTGTGATTCCTTTGGTCAGTTCTACATAACCAAGTAATTTCAGCATTCCAGATTGGTCTACAAATTAGTATATTGTGTGGCAATTCACCGTACCTTTAGGGCCTTTCTGAATATCTTCTCCTTTTACCAGAAACCTTTTTTCGCTGACAAGTTCAGTTTAGTTAATCTCGTTTAATGACGCAACCTAGACCAATTATTCATATTGTCTGTTGGGTTTCAGGTCCACTCGGTACCATTGGCACTAGCCTCTTCATGGCTTGCGAATAAATCTGAATGGATTTAGACGCGTTATATGCACCCCAAAAGGGTAGCGAATTATTCGTCTTTGGAGGTGTTAACTGTTTACTCAATGCACCCCTTCCTAGTGCCAGTGAGGAATACATCATACTAGCACCATATATACATACATATGCTCTAACTAGGTTCGGATGGTGACGAAATTAGCAAAAGTTCAGCTCTCATTTGGTCAGCAGTTGGTAAACGTATGCGATCTTTGAGAGTTTAGGCATATTTCCACAGTAAGAATGGCCCAATAACTTGTTCTGCCTCAAGTGTTGTTTACCATATCACTTGCAACTATGACGATAGACTGCGCACACCAAAGGACTTGTGAAGTTTGCTAACTATGGTCAATAGCTTGTGCAACCAACAAAAGTAACGTCGATCATTTGCAACTCATAAGCGCGTATCTTATGATCCAGAAGCCTGAACTAAACGCTTGGTACGTAATATTTGCAACTTGTAGGAACCTTTGAATAAACGTTTAGCAGGCTTATCAAGCCGAATTGAAACATCTAAAAGTCGCTGGTCTGAGCAATTCATTTTTAGCTTTCGCCGTTAGGTTAAATTTATGCAGCATTGCAACAGCATTGCGGAAATCAACATACCTGAATCTGTGTGGTTGAGTGCGGTTTACTAATATTACCAAAATACACTCATCTCCGGAGGTTGGTATTCCAAATTGGTTGGTACGACGGAAAACTCATTACAAGGGAAGGTGGTCTAATGTGTTATCGTCATTTGTGAAAAGTCTACTCTGGATCAGCCCATCATCGGCAAATTATTTAGTTCAGGTTTCGCGTATGGTTGATATACATGTGTTTTGCACCGCACAGAAAAAAACTGCGTCCGGTCTAACGACGAGACGATTTCTGTTAGCTTGAAGGAGTTCATAAAAAATTTGTCATTGGGCGTCAACTGCTTCATCAATTTCAGGCAACCGTGTATCATCAACCGATGATTAAAGCCGCCTTTTTTCATAGCAGTTGTTCCCAGCGAATTCCGTTATTTTCAATCTAATGATGAGGATAGAATTTGGAGCCTATACGTACAAGCCTTTCCCGACAATATTTATGCAGGCAGTTGGGGTACGGCAATGGTTTGAGAGGTATATTTATCAGAAGTCGCTTTCAGCAAAACGGGCAACAGTCACTTGGTGCAAACATTGAAGAATACAAATAATACTTTGGAAAGCAGCAACAAACTGAGTCTACAGAATTCTAGTAGAATGTCTGTGAGAAGGAGCATTGTTCATTGATTATTTTGCTGGTATTTAGCAAAGGCAAGTGTTTTGTTCAGACTTAGAAAACACATACATCAACACGGGTGTACTGTGTACGTGCGGCCACACAGGTCTACTTTGTAATGGGTAAGCATACAAGGGAGTCACATGTTGAGTCACCCCACAAACAGGTCTCTGACTCATTGGCATATAGAACGCACGCACCCAAGAGGCTACTATAGTCACAGCAGTTCGGTGATGGCTTGACAGACGGACACACACACTCTCTGACATATCGAGGTGTCTACTACAGTTACCGTCCGTATTTTAATTGATACTTTGTGCTGAAGTTCATTTGTGGCACCAGAAAGCACCTCTCGTCGATCGGCGATCCACGTGGCATGTTGCTGATAATTTAATGCCGAGATGCAGGTTAACTGACCAAATTAATTCCATATGGCCACCTCGTTTCACATTCCCCACTTATGTCAGCCATTTCTTGACAAGTCTTGTTACTTTTGGATTTTGCTGGTCACCGGGAGGCAAACTCTCTAGAATTTCTTGTTTGTTGTAATGACAATATTCGTCAAAACATGGTCGATTCAGTTGTGGTAAGTATGCAAGTCATCTGGCCTACGCAGTTTTGCCCTTTCCGTCGCTCAGCGTCTAGCGCGTTTGTCAGTTAATTCATCATTTAATCGATCAACGCTTCTCACATAAGTGACGGGACGTAAAAACGCTGGGCGTTGGTTTTACCGAAGTGCATTTGTGTTCCATTCATCATCGGTTTTTCATCCTTCCGCTACATATGCGATGGTACTTGAGCACAACAGGAAAGATTTGATAAGCTGAAAAGATGTTCCGACTATGCGACAAGAATCCGGTAGTCACCTACTTAACAACAGAAATCAGGGTAATAAGTCTCACCAACTATCAAATCTGCTAACATAGCCAGGTGACAAGATATTCAGCGGGCTGTCAGAAATAAAACGAAATACGAGATGGAATAGTTGACCATTCGGATGTTTTCCTTTTCTTGATTTATTCTGTGGTTTGAACGAGAACACAGTGAGCAGCGTTATTCTTTTCGAGCTAACGCTGTCAGGTGAGTACATATCCATGGTTGAACTAGTGGTAAATAAGGAATAGTTGACCATTCGGATGTTTTCCTTTCCTTGATTTATTCCCTGGTTTGAACGAGAACACAGTGAACAGCGTTATTATTTTCGAGATAACGCCGTCAGGTGAGTACACATCCAATGGTTGAACTAGTAGTAAATAATGAAACAAATAGCTAGGCTTAGTTATTAATTAGAAAACGCAGAATCATGGACATTTGTATGTCAGCGTACCTCACATCGTATCTAACTGGATGCTGTGAGGCAGTTTGGAGGACCGTTGAGTGACGGAATCGATCGATTCTTCCCACGTGACCAGGGGACTGATTGGTTGTATGGATCATTTTGATGGTGCAGTATCGGGTTTCGAAACGCACTGCTGCTTTCTCGGCTGTAAGCAGGGCACGTCGTTGAATTGATACCGGCAGTCTATTGGGTAGTTGAGGTGGTACAACTTAGATTAATCACGTGACCGGTGTCAATTATGTGGGACGAAATTGAGCTTTTGGTTGAAATAGAAAAGTTCTGTAGAACTCTCGAGAATGCTTACTTTCCAAATATTCTGTGCAAGTGAGGCTTTTACATTTGTGTCTAATAGATTGTAACCATTTATCTCGCGTTGGTCAATAAGTGTGCTCCATTTCACGGGGTCCTAGAATTGAAATGTTCACCAACATTTCCTATGTAACTTGCATGTAACTCGTGACTTCCCTATGTAACCTGTGAGACGCATTCGCAGTGTTGACTTATGTTGCTACAAGCTAGTAGCGGGGCAAAATCGAGGCCTCAAGGTATTAAACTTCACTGTCATTTTTCGGCTTTTGCTAATAAAAACAAGAGAACGTGTTTCAAAATCCCTCGACCATTTGACTGAAAGCTTTAGCTTTTGAGGAATAACCCTGTTGTACTAAATAGTAAGTGTTGATTATTCCAAGGGACTTGTTCAACACACTGGCTATCTGAAAACTCGTCCTAAAATCTGGTTAATTTTGGTGAAACAGTCATTTTTCGATTTGCCACAATAAAAGTGTTAGAAAGAGACCACCACTAGATAAGGTCGCATTGGCAATATTGATGCGGTATTTCAGAACCAGAAAGAAACAAATAGGGCCACACCTAGGCCAGCTGGTGATGCATGCCACTGGAAATGCATCATCACTGCACACATGTAATGTACAGAATGTAAGGTAAACAAGCTTAAGAAAATAAGCGTCTCAAATTACAACGTCACACAGTCACGGTTGATTCCCACTCGATCCAGTAAATGTAACAATAATCTACATGGCCATTTACAGGGGGACACCTAAACGAATGATGCATCGTTCACTTTGCTGTCATATGAACTTAGTTTATCTTACTCCAGTTGAACGAAAACCCCTTAGATAATGTTCCAAACCGTGCCTGTGTTCGAGTGCACCGTAACGAAACACTGCTTAACACAGTTAAAATAGTTATATCACAAGGTATTACGGTGCATTCAACTATGGTCGCTTGTAAATTTATTGTCAGACTGCATCTGGTAGAACTTTGGAATGTCTAGTTCAAGTAGGTTAATATTGATACCGAGGGGCGAAAATGGCACTTCATCTGCCCGCTGGTGAATGCTAGTCGGTCTCCCATAAAGGGCGACTATTCAGACAACTAATCAAGGGCATAGCTGTTTTTCCAATTTTGATATACAGTGTCTTTCAAATAAAATATATTTTTGTCTGTGGTTAGTATGCCATAAAATAAGCCACGCATTATTCATCCGCTAGCGACATTGAATTAGGATGGTGGTTGTCATTTATACCGCAGTGGAGCCTGTTCCCAGAAGTAGTTTCTTTTGCAGTAGAGTCAGGACGCGCCCAGGCATGAAAAAGAGAACATGTGCAGAGAGTGCCGCACCCCCAAGGTCACCATCCTTACTGGACATTTCGGATAGCAGGTGCGTTGGCGGAGCTCACCAAACACGGCTTAGCAACCTAAGACCAGTGGAGTGGGGCTGAAATTGATCACGACCGGAACACCACCGTTAGCTGTACAGAACGAACAAGTGAACGACCATATTTGGCCATTTAGCCATCCTATATATTTACGCAGAAGCTCTGTATATTTTTTCCTGACAATACAGCCGTGTCCTGAGTTCTGTCTTCTACTTATCGCGTAGTCTGGGAGGCTCAGTGCAGGCGTAACCAATAGACGACCACCGACGACACAACAAGTAGTCACATGGTTTCTGTGTACGGAAGAACTACCGGATAAGAGAATTGAATCATTGAAGTTAAATCATTGAAATCTATGAGCAGTGAACATTGTGCATAGATGGGAACGGCCAATAAATTGTGGTTATTGAGTAAGGATAGAGGAAGATTCCCTCAAGAATTTTTACTCACCAAGTAAAATATACCCGAAAGCGTTAAAGAGAATTAAGTTAACAGTATGCACTGTGAGTTGGTGGCGGTGACTGCACCCGTTACTCTCTTTCTTTATTCCCTTTTCTATTATTCCAGGTATTTCATCATCCCAAAACCGACATCCAGCTTTGTGAATGTTCCGTTCCGTTCTTGTAGGAATGTCTAGTATCAGGAGCTCGTAATCATCTGATTCCGTCTGAGCCTTGAAGCGTGGCCATTGAACAAAATCCTGTCGACCAGCGTCATCCAGATTGGGATTCCTGTCAACGGATTGGCAAGGTAAATGCAAACACAACACTGTTCACCAGCCCGAAGCGTTAGCAACTAATAGGCAATTAGTACACTCGTAATATGACCGTTGACGGTGTGTCACATACGTAGCTAGGTATCACCTGTTTTTGCCTTTACCACACGGGGAGGTGGGTTCAATGTAGCTATTTTAGCACGAGATAAACTCGCGTGTAGGTCGTGTCAATCCATCTTGAGCTATAACATTTGTTTTTCGTAGAACACGTGAGATTCCATCACATCAGACTCATATGTTTGTACGTCTTTTCATATGGTTTCACTGTGGGTTAGTGTCCGCCATGTCGCTCACAAACTTCTGACAAGCCTTAGTCAGTAAGGCCATAAAAATGAGCGGTACCGAGCACCATATCATGGAATAGGCGTTCGCCACATAGGTCAAGTAACCAAAAGAAGGAACAACTGACATTTGTTCGTCTGAAAGTAAGCTGTACGATATTTTCTCAGCAAAACATTTTAGCAAAATGTAATTTAGGATTATTCCAAAAGTTCCAGGAAGGCGGCTACAAGAGAATCGTCATCAGAAACTCAAGATATATTCTTAAACTGACGTCAAAATTGAATTATACTACACGAACATCAAGAGGTTTCCTGAAATTCAAACTTTGACAGCGTCTCTCTAACGGAAGCGTCGTTCAATTGTTCCATCGCAAACTGGGCTATTCATCAGCCTGCGTTTCACAAGGATCTAGCATTCCCGCTTGGGTGTTGAATAATCTGCCATTTATCCGCGATGAGATAACCAACATGGCAAAACCATTTACTTTTAGTGATGAACGGGCATACTGGTGTCAAGAACGGAAGCACGTGCTGCTTACTAACGAGTGGTCCAAATGGCACCTATAGATTCAGACTTGTATTGAGTTGGTGGCAGCAAACTTACGGTTTCCGGATGGATTTTTATTGCCATGTCGACTGATTTATTGCACAAAATTTATCCTGCTCGATAAGGGTGACATCATTATTTGAAGCACAGATATACCAAGGGTCTTTAATGAACTCCGGAAGTGGAGCATTTCAACTTCAGTTCTATCCCGGAAACGCGGCTAAATTCCAGAGAAATTTACAATTTGGGTGTCTTTTCTGAATCTTTCTTACATATGGCACTATTTTATAATACGTGTGGGTGATTGTCAAGCTGATAACCGTCTCTGTTTCGACAATCCATTCTCTCCTGATAGTGCGTGCGTAACTAAGTGGGAAAGATTTGTTACATGTCTGTTTTTTAACCAAGACTTACTACGTTGTGTAGTGTACAGCACCTCTGGTAAATCTGTTGTTAATATGTTGAAATATGGTAGCCCAACAACAACCAACAAACTTTGATAGGTCATTTTTGTCAGTGGTTTGTGCAATGAGTACTTTCCGGACGAACTACATTTTGCAATTTGAGATTCAATAATACCAAAAAATACTTAAAGACGATTTGCGGACTGATGTCTAAAAACACGAAAAAGCGCCTACCGATCGCTGCATTGAGGTGCTCATTTCTAAAAACACGAAAAAGCGCCTACCGATCGTTTTATTGAGGTGCTCACTCAGAATTTACCCATGACTTCTAATTTAACAACCTAGATAGGCATTCTTATTCGATATCCTGCACGTTTACTTTTGAACTCCATCGCAATCTTTCTAGACAGAAAATTCGTCCATAGACACACTAATGCCTTCTGCTCTTTATCTGACTTATTATCTATAATATGTATAACTCTGACCTCGTGGAAACATAGAACATCATCACACGGTTCTAGTTAGAACAAAGTGTCTGTTCTTCAGGAGTTTGTATTACTGAGGAGTTGTAAAAGCACGAGACGGCATGAATCCCAGCTAGAAACAGTAATCTCACATTCACAAGAGTCTAAAAATTTATCTCTGACCAAATTGCTATCCTAGTTTCGGACGCACGCTTGGGAGACCACACCTACCTGATAAGCAAGAATAGGGCAAAAAAGATAGCATATTGTCTGTGGATTATAGACAGTCCGTCCTCACTGCCCAGACCGAAAACAAGGTATGAAACGTAGTTGGAGAAATCCATCTATCTTCCACCTAATCTACTTTGACTTCCATCCGTTTTATCTGTTTTCGTGAAGAAACTACGCACAGTTGGTCAAGTCTTGGTCGCAGATTCTAGAGATATCGTGTCACATACACGTGCTGGAATCATTTTGAACTATCATATCAGGTAAACTGCATTGTACCATGTTACATATCAAGCAGTGACTGTTTCCTTGTCTGAAAAGCTTGCAAAATAAAAGAGCATTTGCAGATTGAAACAGTTAGTTTTCAAAATTGGACGTTTTCTAAGAATCACACATACCCTGTTTTTGCGAAGTTTGTCCATCTCCACATAACTTCCTCACTCAGTTTTTCTCTTGATTGTTGAAGCGATAGAAGGCCGTTTGAAACTTCTCTGAGTATGGCATTCCAAACACATATTCGATTTCGTAGCCATGCATGACACCAACCCATTTTGGGAAAGAAAAATTGGCAGTTCTTCGTTGTAATTCGTACAAGAACACTTTAGAATTTGGAAGTGATGCCACGCGCTTGGCAAATTTTAGTGTGGGACATGTAAAGTCTAGTTCACCACAAAGTTGGTCTAAGCGACGCATGAGTTCCTCTGGTGTCATTGAGATTTCTGCAGTTTCGGAAGTAACCTTCGGAAGCCTGTAGTACTCTGCCGGCAATCGAAAAACACTTTCTACTAGTATGTTTTCACTCAAGAACTGTGCCGCCGTTATTTTGGTGAAGTCAGCCTTCTTACCTTCTATCAGAACTCCAGCGGCAGCCTTTTTTATGGCTTCTGGGAGGTTAACTGTCCCGTCTTTGTTCAGAAATCCGCCTTGCTTCAGGTCCAACCCGTATAACAAAAAATACATGGCTTCATTCTTATTGAAACCCAGTAATACTTCACGTTTGGTGCGTAGTTGTTCCTGGAAAGCAGTGGTAAGCAATTCTTCAGGGTGCTTCGGGATCACATGGCCGTCAATTACAGCTTTCAACGGAACATCAAAGTAGATCCAACTGGACTTGGCCCAACTTAAGATGTCAGGATCACCTGGAAATAAAGTTTTCAGTTTTTCCATCCTTCTGTTTTCTACAAACTCGCCCACGCTGTTCAGCGTGTCGACAACTTTTATGGGTTCCAAACTTTGCAAGCAAGCTAAACTCAATGCACGTTTCGTCTTTGGCGATGGGCAACCACAGGCAACGGTAAACTGCGAAAGAATGGAAAACAAAGAGTGTAGCATAATTCATATACTTAGAAGTATTATCTCATTCAGATGCTTTACTTTAGTGCAACTTTTGGACTGATCAGATCCTGCAACATGGATTTGAGGAAGGTTATGAGATTGAACCGATTTTTCGTGAATTAGTGTGGCTTGTTTACAGTGATGACCGAATTGAAAACGTCACACCTTTTGCATGTCGATCGGTCCGTTCAACATCTCAAACGAGATATTCAGCTGGGTTCCGGGATGAAACAAAACCGAAAGGGCGGGACGGTCAATGTTATCTAGGTAGTCGGACTACGTTAGAAATCCTGATTTTTGGTCGGTCTGTCAGTCAGTCAGTCGTTCAATCCGTCAGTCAGGCTGTGAGCTCCTGGTCTCACTGCTTGGATTAACTACTGTTCCGTTGTTTGCGTTGGAATTTACGATGAATTGAGATCCGGCCTGTGTTCCAGACGGGCACACACCCGGTTACCACCTTTCCAGATTTCACCGGTTACATCTTACGTATACTCACTGAAGACAGTCACTTTCCGGCAAATTGAAATTAGTGAAAATAGCAAGTGATAATAATAAGTCTGCATGTTTTTTAGTCCGGATCGGTCATCATGGTAAAAATTTGGACAAACTTTGATAAACTGTATTTTATCCTTGTCACGAACGCCCGTTGGAAGCTTGTGGCTCCGTGAGACAAAGTTTGAAACTATTTGGGTTAGTGCGAGCGTCCATCTGATCCTAAGGTGATTTGGTCAGCTCACACTAGTAGCTAAATTAAGAGAAATGCCAATGCATGGAGGCTAGTTAACGTACACTTAAAGCTTTTTCCATTGACAGGGGATGGCGGAGCTAGCTCTTCTATAGCAGTCCAAATTGGATTCGAAATTTCCAGCTGCGACTAAAGTTTAATCTTATATGGCATGCAAACATATACCTTATTGAAGAAACGCCAAGCTGATCACACTTTCTAACGTGTGCACATGCGAAACCATTTTTACCCACCAGGTCAATATTCTAAACCACTCAACCAAAACGTCTTATTCTGCGGGGTAGTGCCTCACGAGTGTGGCTGCATTAAGGATGATAGGGCCAACAACCAGAAGTTTTCGCTTGGGCCTCAGAAATTTCCCCGTAAATACTTGAGAGGTGCAAAAATACGGCCTCCCGACAGCTAAGCCCATTCATTCCTTGTGAACCTAACGTACCTGAACAAAAATCAGGGCTGCAGCGTAATCTTCTTAGACAAGCTACTTCTTACAATTTGGCACAGTCAGACCATGAGGAATAAAACTCACTTTTTCTGCGCGCATGTGAGCTTCTTCTAGACTTTCAACAGCCCACCTCGTCAACGCGCTTGCTGACTGCAGGATTACACGGTTGAAATAGTTCTTTGCCAAAGGAGACAGCCACAAAAGTGAGGCACTCACGGCACCCGAAGATTCTCCAAATACCGTGACTTGGCTTGGATCGCCTCCAAACACCATTATGTTATCCTTCATCCATTTCAGTGCTAAAAGTTGATCCAACAGCCCTGCATTTCCCATTGCCACATTCGAGCCATCTGAACTGGGAGCCAGTCGAAGGAAACCAAATGCGCCAACTCGATACTGCATGCTCATGACAACGACTTCGTGTTTAGCTACCAGGATTGAGGCATCATAAACATCCAGTGTAGAGGTGCCGCTAGTATATGCCCCTCCATAAATCCACACCATAACTGGAAAACTTCTCGACATGCTGGGGTTGAGAGGAGCCCAAACGTTCAAATAAAGACAATCTTCATTCATTTCCGTGTTGTTTAACCACATTCGGGCACCTGGATTATTCTGATCAAAACCATCAAGCACCACATACTGCCAACATGCAGGTGGCGTTCCTGTGGCATCTATTGGCTCCCCGCCCCAACCTTCATGTTCTTCAGGTGGAGCAAACCGTTTGTTGCCAACTGGTGGCTTGGCAAACGGTATCCCTTTGTAAGCACTGACAGCGACCGTCCTGTCACCCAGTTGAACAGTCTCCTGTTTGCCACGAACCTTGCCACCATGTGTAAGTGTCTTAACAAAATCATCGTTTTGCGCCTGCGTAAATGTGAACGTAAGATGCAAAAGGAGGCATGTGATTGTTCGATTACCCATTACTGCACACTGACAGGCAAAACACGTAGTTCTTAGGATGGCTCAGTATGTGAATTGCTTCCTTTTTATTATTCACTGTGTACGACGTGTCACTTACTTTGCGATACCCTAGTCCACCGACGGAGTCTGACTCAGTGTCTCATTTCAGCAAGCACGAGCTTCAGTCTGCATTCATATATGTTGGTACTTAGACTTGAGGAAGTGTTTTCAAGCCTGGCACCGCGTGCGCCCACATCACAAACAAAGTCGTACCTGGTTGGTTAAATAGTTTTGCAATCGACTTCTTTTCATGTAGAGACATGAAGCTTTTTTCTTACTCTTAGAGACCTGTAGCACCTTTCTTGAAGGAAAGAATGTCATTCGCACTGACAGAAATTATTGACATAGCAGCTCACAATTGTAGACCGAGGGCGTCCTAGCTGGTAAGTATGCAACATGGGCTGTAGACAATTTTTTAACTTCAAGAACGAGCGAAACCTCTTAGAACTTCCTGGCTAATCTTCAGCTTCCAAAGCAAACTTGTTTGGAAGTTTTGACGAAACACTGTGTTTAGTTCTTCCTCACGTGGAGGTTTTGAGTTGACGGGACCACTGCACAGACTATTCGGTCCCAAAAGCAAATCTCTGTTCACTGGAAAAGTCCAGAAGCATGTACACAGCCTTTGATCAGCATGACCACAACAAGAGCATTATACACACCATGCATTCAAAATGTGATATTAAGAATATATTGGACTTGATGTGGTCAGGCTTTGACTTGGAAAGAACAATATTTCCAGCAAACCTGTAGTGTTTCTTATGATATATCCCCCAGGCTTCCTTCGTTACATCCATCTTGCTGTGTTCTGATGTTCACATTACTTCCACGCTCCATTATCTCACTTTCAGGAATTTACACCCTGCTAAATTCAACTGCCTGTAACAGTTGGCCAAACTCTACCTGAGCACTTTCATGCAGCGTTCGAAACCAGCTAGTTCTCTAAATCTTATGTCGATTAGATCACACCCAGTTATTTTCTGGACTAATTAAACCTGCTATTCAAACGTCTGGCTATGAGACTTGAGACAAAAAGAAGTATATACTAACGTCCGACATTCCCCGGAGATGTTGAAAACAAACTAAGGAGTATAATTGAAAGCCGTGCAGATTAGGATTGACATCGCAATTGTACTCGTTAGGAATTCGTCACTCGTCGTTTTGCCGTTCAGTGTACCTCATAACGAGGCGATATATGGCGAATTCGTGAAGTCTTCTTGGTAGGAGTTCTCGAAGATTGCTCAGTTCGTATAAGACCAGCGGTAATCCGGTTATTACAAACGTGGGAAAATCACTGGACCCGTTGAGCAGCGCTCCTCGAATTGCCCCCGAAAGCGCTATTCCAAGTGGAGTCATCCATTTTCTTGTAGAGTATGCTTGAACTGGAAAGTTCTACTGTTAGGATTAGTGGATGTTAATACAGTCGATATAAAATGTGGATAGTTGAAAAAAAATTATCAATCATCCTGTAGTTTCACTTTCCCAGATGCCGGGTAACATTTCACTTCAAGTTTTGTCCCTGTGCAGTAGCAGCAAATTCGGTGGCAATCATGGTATATCAGGCATCAAAATCGGTACGTTTTGTGTTGAAAACTGCAGTCAACTTTGGAGGAGACAGGGTAGAAAGACAGCGAACGGTGCTTTAGTATCAATCAGTTCGTTTTATTGACTAGAGCAGATGGACGCATTTAATCACTGTGGCAGCAGTCTGCTGTTTTCTACCATTTGGGTGAGGAGGACGCAAACTTTCCTTGCAAGGTTATGATGCTATACAGTGAACCGCGTGAGCTGCAAGCTACAATATTCTCGATGAATCGAGCTGCATCAGAAGAGAGGTTCTGATAGTATTTCAATAATTTTGTGCATTCGGTTGACGAATAAGCTAGGACAAACACGCACAAACCTCTCATAAACCACAATTTTGTGGTGTTAGTAAATTACTCGTGGGAATGCTGTGAGTGGGTTGAAGATGTATACAATAAAACCATTGATATAGTTCTATGTGAAATTTTGAAATATGGTTGAGTGCTCTACTCGTTTGTGGCAGATTGCTAACCAATACGTGGAAGTTAAAGTTTCATTCGAACTTTAAACAATGCTCACCCCATGTGTTTATCTGGTGTGCTCATTGATTCTAAAATGAATCTGCTGGTTTGTCTTCTTGCAGGTGAAACACGCTTCACTTTCAAAGATTTTAAATGCTGCGTCTAAGTGCTGAAAAGCTAAAGTTCCCTCTTGGTTGAAGATGATATACATTGTTATATTTATCAGCATCCTAGTCCTCTTAAATCTTAGTAGTTGACCTCAACAAACAAAAACCAATTGCCCTCACAAATCGACTGTAGCTTCCCACAAATCGTTGATTTGGCAGTAAGCAACACCAAACAACAGTACGTTCTGGTTGTTTTAGGTTCGGATGAAGCTGAATTAATCTAGTCCCATATTAGGCTTTCAAACATAAGATGGTGTTTTCGGCTCATAGTTATAGCAATAGATGGCATTTTCGTCAAAAACTGTTGACTGGAATCTGACAGACGCATAGGCATATCGCATCAGATTGCCACAAATAATCTAAAGGGAATCATCGCGACTGCAAATCAGGATTGTAAAGCCCTGATTTTTGCTCTAAGATGTTTTATTATAAAATGCATCTTGGATGTTGTCAGAAAATTTTGTTGCTCTTTGTGTGCTAATTTGTACCGGTATAATTGTGTTGGGGTTTGGGGGAGGAATTTACTTTAGACTCAGTGCGATTCACTGATGCCGTACATTTCCTCATATCCTCTCCACACACTTGCCAGTGTGCTACAATACTTGATGATTTGCACCTCCTCGCCACTAGCCAATGGGGCTTGAGTGTTAGTCTTTGTCTCAAAACTTCCAATTTTTCCTTATCTATCGTGTCAGGTGTCTAGTGCATGCACCGTTCTTAACTATCGAATAATATTCGTCTACCTTCAACGTTGGTCCGTTTATACGTTACTTGTGCTTGCCGAGTCTGGGACATAAACTGCTACCTGCTGGATCTGTGAAAAGCTGAATGAATTGCTAGATATTAGTGCTGAAAAGCTAAAGTTCCCTCTTGGTTGAAGATGATATACATTGTTATATTTATCAGCATCCTAGTCCTCTTAAATCTTAGTAGTTGACCTCAACAAACAAAAACCAATTGCCCTCACAAATCGACTGTAGCTTCCCACAAATCGTTGATTTGGCAGTAAGCAACACCAAACAACAGTACGTTCTGGTTGTTTTAGGTTCGGATGAAGCTGAATTAATCTAGTCCCATATTAGGCTTTCAAACATAAGATGGTGTTTTCGGCTCATAGTTATAGCAATAGATGGCATTTTCGTCAAAAACTGTTGACTGGAATCTGACAGACGCATAGGCATATCGCATCAGATTGCCACAAATAATCTAAAGGGAATCATCGCGACTGCAAATCAGGATTGTAAAGCCCTGATTTTTGCTCTAAGATGTTTTATTATAAAATGCATCTTGGATGTTGTCAGAAAATTTTGTTGCTCTTTGTGTGCTAATTTGTACCGGTATAATTGTGTTGGGGTTTGGGGGAGGAATTTACTTTAGACTCAGTGCGATTCACTGATGCCGTACATTTCCTCATATCCTCTCCACACACTTGCCAGTGTGCTACAATACTTGATGATTTGCACCTCCTCGCCACTAGCCAATGGGGCTTGAGTGTTAGTCTTTGTCTCAAAACTTCCAATTTTTCCTTATCTATCGTGTCAGGTGTCTAGTGCATGCACCGTTCTTAACTATCGAATAATATTCGTCTACCTTCAACGTTGGTCCGTTTATACGTTACTTGTGCTTGCCGAGTCTGGGACATAAACTGCTACCTGCTGGATCTGTGAAAAGCTGAATGAATTTGCTAGATATTGCTTTGTACACACACCCTATAGTGCTGTCAACCCGGGGTAACCCACGAATTGCACCAATACTAAGCGTAAAGTTTTACGATTCTGCAGTGCCACCCAAAAGTTGGCCGCATTCATTCCTGTTCTAATAAATTTACCTCAGTTTTTGTATGGAATGACTGCTAGTCCGATCCACTTTCGCTGGGTCTCGGTGTTGGGACTAATGTTCGTCCTGGCTGTTTTGCATCCGAACCCACTTGGAATAAGTTGTCTCGAATTTTCCTTTTTCATCTAAGTTCGCATCACCATTCGGTTAACTTGCTGTGTGCACATTAACCAAATGAACATTCTCGAAACATACTAACGTATATTGAATTTGCGTATGCTGATGATGGTAGTCTTTTGGTTTCTGGCAGGCAGTTATTTTTAATTCCACACCACTGTTGTGTTATGCTGGTTTGGAATTTGCGGAGGTTATGGTCGGTATAATCCACGACCCGGAAAAGCCAAGCTATCTACTTGCGAATGACTGGGAATGAACCAAGAATCAACTCCTGATCAAAAATATGGAGAGATTTTTCGTGGTGCAAACGGGTTTTTTTCACGACAACTGATATGGTGAAATGACTATGGAGGTTTACGGCCCAAACGTATCTGCGTATATGTTGTTTGTCCAGTCTGATTCCAGGATGGAACATTCTTTCTTCCCCTCAAATTAACGCCCGGGGCAGCCAAACTCCGTTATTGACCGTTGTAAGACAGTAGTTCATGTTGCGTGGTTTGCGCCCCCAGGTGCCTGGTGAGAATCCTAAGAATACCTGTAAACTTGTTGTACTCAATCGAGACGGCGTGCAAAGAATATAATCAGAAGAGCATTTTAATATCTTCTGAATTACAAACGGGCATAGCTTCATGAAGCCTACATCAGTGTTGTAAGCCACAGTCTTGGCTTGCGCGTTGGAAAAAGTGCTCATTGTTGCACATAATCTGATTGTCGTGTGTCGGTGTCACACTGTCCGTCCCTGAGCGGGTGCTCAGGCATCTGACTCCAGATGCCAAATGCGCTACAATGAAAAACACAA